CAGGGCAAGATGCTGCTGCGACATTCGCTTCGGCCGATGGACGATCTCCGGTGAAGGTCCAGCTGAGAGCCTAGCCACGCAAACACTCAACGCTTATGATCCCTAAACCTTATAACCCTAAACCCGAGGCCTCAGAAGCCCGATCCAGACGTCCACTCCTGTGAGTTTAGACCTGGCAATTCCCAATCCTCGATGAGGGAGTTGTTGGCAAAGCACCTTCGTTTGGAAGCCCAGGTTCTCACTTACACCAGACCTTCAGTCGGGTTCCCGCGGTAGAGGTATTTTCTGGCTTAGATTCTGAAGTTATAAGCGCACCTGGAAGACTGTCTGGCAATTGCCCTCACAGGAGCGGAGCTGGGCAGCTCAGTTCAACAGCTTTCCGGTGTCGCGCCGCTGTCCACAAACTTGGCGGCTGAGAAGCCGTTGGACGAGGTCGTGCAAGAGCTGCTGCTGCTGCTGCGAGAATGCCTGCGGAGCGAAAGCATGTCCCACATGGCCTTCCATGATCCAGCCATGCCTTCAGTCCTATATTCACGCCACGAACCCCAAGGGCGGGCATTCGGCTTTTTCGTGCATGTCGAGCCGAATGAAAGGTTGGCAACCTCCGGGTTCTGGGAGTCTCGCGAATGGTTTAAAGTTTAGTCCTCCCAGAATAAACTCTGAGAATAGCGGCCGCAATCCGAGTATGTGAACTGTTGCTAGCAGGGCTGATAAATGCAGTTTAGCTACTACGTGCCCACTTGGTTCGCCTGCTTCGGGGGGGGGGGGGGGGGNNGGGATTCTTGTTGTCCGGAGCTGCGGCTGGCTTCTCGACTTGTGGGGCGAAGGCGTTTCCGGGAGTGCGGAGCCTGTACGGCGCCACGTTCAGGTACCGCAATCTGGTACGGTAGATATTCAACATATCGAACTCCGACCAGATCCCTAGCAACCTAGCACTCCCTGAGCCCATGCCTCAAACTTCACAAGCAGCAAATCGACTTTCTGCTCCATGCTCTTTTCGTCGGCATCCTCCACATGGATTGGAGGACTTCCACTCTTAAGCCGATTACTCTGAAGAACCTGGAAACCCGAAGCTGAACACTGCCTCTGAAATGCAGGCACAGCCCAAAAGCCCTGGGATGTTTTAGCTGCATGGTATGGGTCGATAGGTGTAAAGTCCATGCTTTGAGGTGTGTCGCTTTGCGTCTCAAGATTTAGGTTTCATGCCCTGCACCAGCCCGTCGTGGCGCTTGGTCCGGGGCTCGAGTCTGCAGTTTCCTGGGTCTTTCTTGGCGGGCAAAATGCTCGATAATTGGCTGGGTGCATGCAAGTTAGAGGCCTCAAACCCCAAACACTTCCAAGCTGCAATGTCAAGAGATACAGGGGCCCGAATCGTGGGTTTGCCAGATGCATTAACAGGAGAATGCAAACAAAGAACAAGCTGCGGAATCTAGATTGCGCGACAATTCATGATGCAGCCCCGAATAATTCAATTCCCAAGCCCTACACCGTGCACGCCTACAAAACCCCATGCCAAGTCGGTCAAACCACTTACCTGTCCAGAACCCCAGAATCTTAAAACTCATCCTGTGAGAATGTTTCGGGTTACTGTTCCCAAATCAGGCCGAACGTTTTGCGCTGGACATGTAGGTCGACACCCTGATATTCTCCAACCTTTTGCACAATCAGGACCAGAAGAAGGTTCCTGAAACCGACGTGGTGTTGACATCTACGTACATGTCCCTGCACAAGCTGAATCTCCTGGAGTGAAGGCCCCCTACTCACCGCAGCGTCCATGGCGGCGGCGCTCATGGTGTGGTCACGACGTAGTGGTCCGTGTAGGTATGTATGTATCTGTATACATATATATACATATATATATACACACACATAATATACACAAATATAAGCAAGAACCCTTACGATTTAGGGGTCGATTCCAGATTGTGTGAGGTAAACGTGGTTTTGAATAACATGCAGATGCGCGGTTAGGCTTTGGGGGTCGAGACCATGGTTCTACTCTACAACTGTACCACTTTCGATACTTGACCTTTTGCGAAGGACTCAACATGTCTAAGGTTAACATCTTGCAAGCCAACATAAACATTCGGTAAGGCTACCTGTAAGAAGCCTGCTAGTTGTCAACGCTTTCTTCACTTGTCGCTGCCCCGTCTCAACCCTCATATACAACAACAGGTAGCTTTAAGGAGCCAGAGATTGCGACCGGTTCTTCGGCGGGTCTGGCCAAAAGTCGCGAATCTACGGCGGGTTGGGAACTAGAGTCAATCAGCTTCTCGTCAAGTCCATGTGCTCAATCTGACAGCCAACACGAGGGAAACTTCACTGATCAGCCACCGCACACAAACCTACCACGGGTCCACTTCCTATCCCCGTCCCGCACAAAGACGCCTGACATCGACAGAGGCAGCGTGTCCTCGACCAAGGCAGTTTGGAGTGCATGACGGCGCTCATGAAACTAGCAGGCCGACTTGGGATTTCGAACTTGGCCTCTTAAGGCCTAGACCAACGAAACTCTGCTTGTGAGTGATTTGCCACATTGCTCGTGAGCCTTTCGACTCGCGCACTCGCAAAGCAGGCGCGGATCCCAGCGACAAGTCTGATCTCGAGCTTACTACAGGAGCATCTGCTCACAGCTTCCCAACCCACTAGACTAAACATACAAACACAACCACCAATCCGCCTGGGCATACAGGGAAGACATCCAGCAGAGCTCCAAAGAAGCATGCACCCTCCAGCCCTCAAGCAAAGATCGGGAACAGCTGTAACAACAAACGTCTCTGCCCAAGCCACGGGGACGCGGATCTCAGCCTCCACGTTGCGGTCCTCCATGGCCACGGCCGCATTTGCGCAAGTAGCACATGATGTGGTCTTCAGAAGCGCTCTGCTGTCTTGTTCAAGACTACTCGAGAAAACAACCGCGAAGCCAGGGACTCCAAGACCCGAATTTCCAAATTTTGAAGAGCAGCCATCGCTGCTGAGGCCTCTTTCCAGCCACCTCCATCCCACACACGCCAGTTCTGCTCCAGGTCCATGCCTCTTCGATCCAAGAGCCCAAACACACTCTAAATGCGGACGCTCCGAAAGCTACCATCTACAACGACACAGGAAATGTTTGACGTCAGGAGCGTGAAGATGCATGGGATCCTTCCTCCAAGGGCCTCCCGCTTGCATGAAAATTAACATCGCTGGCTGTTCCTGCCAATACAAACACCAACAGCAAACCTACCGGTTCTCCCCCCGAGAAACAGCGAGCGTAGCTAGGAGGTAGGATGCAAGCGGCAAGGGAGGTCGGATGATAAAAGCTGAATAGCTCCGGAGTGCTGGATTTCTACCTCCCCATCCCGTGTCCAAGCCTCGCTCAGTTTGCGACGGTTCGTGAGCGTGTAATATGACTCGACCGCAAGTCGCGGAAAACCCCAAGACCGGAAAAGAAGCCGTCTTGCGTTTGCCTTCGCCGATCGGCCCGCAATCAGCCATAATCCTTTGAGCGGACTGAGTTTCAGATGGACGTGTTGGAGTTCCGCCGGCTTTCTGAAGATGCCGATGGAGCCCTTCGTTTCATCCTAGTCAGTGTCTTCAATTCGTCAAATTAAACATGGACCCTAAGCCAACACCGAGTTGCAAGGCGCACGAGTCATAGCATACCTCGACGAGGCGCAAAATGGCTTAGCAAAGCAGCCAGGGATCGAGCCGACTGTTGCATCGCAAGAGTCGCTGATGACGAAGGCATCCGTCGGAGGAACCTGGTCCCGTTCTGGCCGTTCCCAAGCCTCCAAACGTAAAGCTTTGCCCTGACAATCCCTGCAGCCGCGATAGAGCAGAATCCCCCGAAGGTACCCGAAGACCAAAATCTCCAGCCCAGAACCAGGCAGTTGTTTTGCCTCCCACCTAGCTAGGACTGACCAGGCAGCTAGGACCAGGGCCCAGAGCTGGAGAGTTAACAGTTCTGACTAGAGTGTCGTGTCTAAGAGGTTTCGGATATTGATACCTAGACCACCTAGACGTCGAGTTCACAGTCTTTGAGGACCTTGCCACTGAAGCAGAGAATATCTCCACAATCCTGCCTGTCAAGTCTCGGAGCCAGAATATGGCTCGCATGTGTGTTGTGCGTCGGAATGCATCCTTTCTGGTTGGGACGATCTCTTCGGGTCACCACTTGCATGGAGGTAAAATTTTGCCATAGTAGGGCATCTAGACTATCATACAACAGGCGGTTTCAGACTGTTTTGGCCGGCAAGAGCTCCGGCTGTCAACGTCCAAGTCTGCAGACAAGCTGCGTAGTACCTGGGACCAGAATCTCAGAGTCTTCCCAGATTTACGGCTGTCCGGCCCGCACTTGCCAGCAGCCCTATACATGCCAAGAAGGACAGATCTTAATGACAGAGAGTAACGAGTATGCTTCGTCCAAGCTGCATGCAAAGGATGACGCTAAGTTGATGCATCAGGACTGAGGCAGGCTTGGACAGTCGGCTGTGGACGCCGACAAGCATCCAATAATGGATGTAGACTAAGTTTCAGGGAACGGCTTCGAAAGCAATCCATTGGAGACGAGCGAGGGTTTGGGCAGAGTGGACTTGCGATGGTAATTTCGATGTGTGTGCAGTAGGCCCAGGCTGAAAACTCATGTTCCGGCTTCTGCTGAATACTTTCAATTGCAGTAGAAGGATTGAAGTTACGTTGAGTTACCTGTAGCAATATAAGCTGTAAGCTACAGCCAACCACTCGTTTCGCTAAGTACTGTCTTTCACCACGAAAACCCGATGGATCCATGCTGTCTCGCACAGCCACTAAACCAGGGTAGGGTCTTGAACAGGAACTTATCTGTAAACAACAGCAGTACATGCTAACAACGACAACAACAGCACGAACGCCCGTGAAAGCCTTAGGAAGCCCCGCAAAAATGAAATAACTTCTGCCTCTTCAAGCTCAAGGTGTTCTAGTCTGGATGCAGGAAGAGACGAAGAAGCTGTGGAGATGGACCATCATCGCCGTCCTCTCTCCGAGTACTGCTGCAAAGGTCGCTTGCACAACTGCGATGCTGTTCAACATTGTCACTAGTCGGAATACCATCACAACTTACCGCCGCTTTTCCACAAGTGCAGCGTAAGGAGGCGATAGGCTTGAAGTGCAATCTTACAGCTTCAGCACGGGCAGAGCTTGGGAAAGGAGCCTCTTCCGCACTGGGGAGCACGATCTGCCGCTGAAATGCCAGCCTGCCGCCCTTGACCTGTGGATTCCGCAACAGACGTGGACATCCTCTACACGTTGCAGCAGCAGCCATAGCTGCTGTATCTAGAGCCTACGGCGCTTCAGTGGCTTAGGAGCACGGCAGACACTGCGAAAAGTAGCAACAACAGCTTTGCAAACACAGCATGTTTAGGTGCTCGTATGTTGAAGATCCAGGAGCTGCAATAAGGCAAGCCACTCTCCAGTAGTACCACAGTCCGTTCACTGCAGCAGCGTTGTGACCCTCTCGCCCCGTCAGCATCACCGTGACCTTTTTGTACCTCCGACGGGCTTCGCAGGTCCACGACAGAGGATTCAAATGAGTCTGGACTTCGGAAGAGTGAATCCATCAAAAGACAGCATCCTCTCTTGTAAAAAAACACCCACCCCTTATGGAGCGTCGGTCCTACGCCACTCTCTGCAGTCTGCAAACCATCCGAAACCCGGAACACAGCTCGAATTGTCTCTCTCGAAATCCTTATTCAAGACACAGCCGCAAGTCACTCCTCCCCGAACCCACGAACTTCTACCCCGGCAAATACAAACCTCAAAGCCAAACAAAACTTCCTCTCAACTCCTACAATCCCTTAACCATCTGCGAGGTTACACATCCACTTCCGCAGGGGCTGCCGGAGGAGCTCGGCTGCCCCCTACAGATCTAAACAGCAGGAGCGGAAGCTCGAGGGTTGGAGGAGGTTTTTTGCTCAGGACCTCAGGAGCGTAAGCTCAAACCTCCCGCCTGGCGCTTCTTAATCCATCAGAGCAGAATGACCTGAACAAAAAGTGCAAGAACCCGAAACCTGGGACCTAGCATCCTGTCCTTGGCTCAAACTCTTCGGCAGTTTCAGGGAGGCGCTCCGCTTCTCCAGGCAGTGAGTATTCGTCTGAGGCCGTGGGAAGATTTGAGATCAAACAGGTGGGGTTGAAAGAGAGGCCTGCTGTAGGTTCGGGGTTTTTGTGTTGGGAGGGTTCAAAGTCCAGGAGTCCTGGAGGTTTTGGATTAAGCGTTTGGCGATGTAGTGCTAGATCTACGAGTAGACTAGATTAGGTAGGGATCGGCGCGAAGCGCTGATGCCAAATTGTAGTGTCCGGGGCTTCGTTCGGATTGCGGTTTCCGGAATAATCGAACCCTGGTCTGAATGAGCTGGTGCCTTTCACGTTTAACCTGTGTAACCTGTGCCGCGAGCAACTCTGCAAAACCCATCAAAACCCTATGAAAGCATCGACGCGCAGTCGGTGCCATGTGGCTGGGCACGGAACACCGGCCGCATTCCAGAAGGAGTCCTGAGATGATGAGATGAGCCGAGACACAAGCCAGAGAGCAGATACAAGCAAGTCAATGGCAAGCACTGCTGTTGCAGTTGGGGTGATCTGCCATTGAGCAGGCATGAATACAAAAACACAGTCGCCGGGCCCGATGAAGGGTCGCAAAATTGGCATTGGGGCGGGAAGGCTGGTTGCGCATCACAGTTCAGATTGCGGCAGCTTTGGATCCTGCATTGCCGGAACTTGTACTTGCTAGGATTGTGCTCGTCTCTGCGGGCCGCTGCGAGATATGCACAGAGCTTTTGTGATGCAGGTCATGTGGCTGTGGGCGTCAAGTGCAAAATTTAGTGGCTTCAAACTTTAAAATGTGGGGACATGAATACATGCACATACAATTCCTATCTGCTGTAGCTAGGTCGAAAATGCTACGAGCATGGCACCTGGGTTTAGGACAGACCGACATGGCCACTAGCATAGTGCCGCCTCCCGGCACAACAGTTTTATGTATGCCCCAGGCCTCTACGACTCCTCGCCGCGACACGAGCATTGTTGGAATAATGGCTCACTCCTCCAACAAGCCCGGACCATCACTCCAACAAGCCCGAACATCACAGAGTGTTTCGGTGATTTGGTACGTTTCAAGAACCGGGCTCATAAGAAACCCCTGAGGCCAAGCAGCAATGCTCGCATCGATGAGAGCACGGGTGGCCATGGCTCGGATCACAAGGAAGGAACGAGACTGCTGAGAGCTGTGGTGGGCAAGCACGGATAACATCACGATGTTCTGCAACCGCAGAACCTTGGATACTATGACATAGAAACGAAGCGATCGCCGCTCTGTGAGTCCGGCATTTTCTGCGAACCAATGGAAAGCGACAGTTTAATGTCGGGACTGGTTGAGAAGACTGTAGGCTGTCAGGCAAATGGAATTTCTCGGGTAAAGAAACACTGGCAAAGTTTGAGGATCAGGACTTGTCTCTGAAACTTGGTCTCGCGCAATCTCGATCACCAGCTCGACCTGCACCCTCTTGGAAATATCGAGACACACAGCCGTGAATGTCCGAAGCAGAAAGTTCATAAAGCCAATTCCTGAAACGACTGAGCCCAAAATGTTGAACCCAGACTCTCAGAGCCCGCTGGACTGCTGTAAGATCTCAAGAAGGCGGGAGACCCCTATCTCCCCGAAGTTCTGTCCCCGTTGGTGCTGCCGCCACGGGCCATGCCGCTGCGACTGGCCATGACGACGAGGAGCTGAAGGGTCTCCGCCTGAGGTTGGCTCGACGAGTTTGCCTTTCATGTGCGTGTCTGCGAGCGACCACACCTCTGTGTGTGCATATATATATATATGTAAGAAGGGGTTGATGCATGCATGACGTTTCAGATTCCGCCCAAAGTTAGCGACTTTCACAGTTGCGGAATTTAAGCCTTCGTGAGGAGCAAGTGCCGGGCGGAGCCATTGTCAAGAACTTAAGGGCCCCTTGCATTCAGAACGGTGCAAAGGAACAAAAGAATCTTCGAGGGGGCAAAAGGCTACCTAGCCGGCCATAAAGGGTTTTATTCACGCCTTGGGTTTGGGGGTCTAAGGCCGAAGGAACAAAAGAATCTTTAACGAGGGACAAAACCAATCTAAGCGGCCGCGCAAGACATTTTTCCCGCCTTGGGTTTTGGAGTCTAAGGCCTAAGGAATAAAAGAACAAAGAGACACAAGACAGAGAGAGATAAAACGGCGGGACAGAAAGATAGAGACACGGGAGCACCGGGAAAGAAAGAGAGGGTGACACAGGGAAAGACAGCGAAAAAGAGTGAAAGAGAGAGAGGGAAAGAGACACAACGAGAGACGAAGGCGAACAAAGAGGGACGGCGGAAAACAGAGGTGAGAGAAAGAAGACAAGGAGGAAGAGAGAAAGAGCGAATGAGAGACAGAGACACAGAGCGACAGACAGAGTGACAGAGAGAAGCTAGACAGGAAGAAAAGGAAGAGGGCAGGGAAGCTCAGAAGAAAGCAGGAAAAGGGCCGGGTAAAGGAAGCGAGACACAGCAACGAAGGCAGCGGAAAGGACTGGAAGGGCAAGGAAGGGAAGGGAAAGGAAAGGAGAGCGGGGAAGGGAAGAAAACGTAGAGGGACGCGAGTAAGAAACGTGAGCATGGAGAGGCAGTCTGCCAAAGGCCACCGTGCCGGGAGCCTTCGAAGGGCAGGAAGCCCGCGAGGGAAAGGAGCCTCTCACAAGGGCACAAGGCCGAGGAGAGAACAAGGAGCAAACCGCTCGACAGAAACTACAGAAGTTGAGAACAGAGCAGACCAGGCGCAAGAGACCAGAGAATTAGACAACACGGAAATCATCTCCACCAACGTGGATGGTCAAAAAAAGCTTTCTCTCCCCCGCACGAGTTTTTCTTCTACCCTGCCACGTATCCATGACCAAAAAAACTGTCCCCTCACCGGACAGCGGGCTTTCAGTGGCTCCTCTGCAGCCCGGATCGAGATTCCTCGGGCCCGAAATGTTGAGATAAAAGCCTTCCTAACCCAACGACGTGTTCTTAAAGGTCGTGTTGTGTACCCCTTGCCGCCCCGATGTCTTGAATTAAAGAACGCCCCCGCCCCAGTGGCAATGGGGTTGTGTTGGGCCCTGTGGGGGGCTTCAACCGACCCCGGAGGCCAAAGGAACAAATGAAGCCTCGAGGAAGGCAGAACACACATTGACAGGCCACACAAAGCTTTTTTAGATCTTGACAAAGATTCATCCAGACGTCTTTGCTCCTTGGCTCTATTGATTTCTGGCCTCTGTCGAAATCCCCTAATCTCTTTCGAACAGTTTGCTCCTTGCTTTCAAATTCTTTAGTCTCTCTCGAAATTGTCTAGCCTTTTTCGAGCGTTTTGCTCCTTGATTTCAATTTCTCTAGTTTCTTTCGAAGTTCTCTAGTCTCTTTCGATAGGCTCGCTCCTCGTATTAAATTTCTCCTGTTCCTTTCAAGCTATCGGCTCCTTGTTTTCAATGTTCTCTAGTCTTTTTCGAAATTGGCCAGTGTTTGTCGAGCGGTGTTGCTCCTTCTCCTGAACTGCTCGAGTTCCTGTCGGGCAGTTTGCTCCTTGTTTTCAAATTTTCTAGTCTCTCTCGGGCGGTTGGCTCCTTGTTCGACTTCCTTTCGAGCGGTTTGCTCCTTGTTTTTTCAACTTCCTAATCCCTTTCGAAATTCTCTATTCTCTTTCCTTCTTCTGAAGTTCTCCAGTTCCTTTCGAGCGGTTTGCTCGTTCCTTGTTTTCAACTTCTCTAGTCTCTGTCGAAATTCTCCAAATTCTCACGTCTCTTTCGAGTGGTTTGCTCCGTCTTCTGAAATGCTTGAGTTTCTTTCGAGCGGTTTGCTCTTTCTTTTGAATTCCGCTAAATTCTCGAAATTATCTAGTCTTGGTCTCTTTCGAGCGGATGGTAGCAATTCTCTAGTTCCTTTGAGCAGTTTGCTCCTTGTTTTCAATTGTGTTTAGTCTCTGTCGAAATTCTCTATTTTTTTCGAGCGGTTGGCTCCTTCTTCTGAAATCCTGGAGTTCCTTTCGAGCGGTTTGCTTCTTGTTTTCGACTCCTCTAGTGTCTTTCGAAATTCTCCAGTCTCTTTCGAGCGGCTTGCCCCGTTGTTCTGAAATTCTCTAGTTTGTTTCGAGCGGTTTGTTCCTTATTTTCACCCCAACCTCTTGTGAGATTGTCTAGTGTCTTTCGGTCGGTTTGTTCCTTCTTCTGAAATTCCCTAGTTCCTTCAAGCAATTTGCTCCTTGGTTTTAAATTCTGTAGTCTCTTTCGACATTCTCGCGTTGCTTTCGGTCGGTTTGCGCCTTCTGAAATTCTATAGTTCTTTTCGAGCGGTTTGCTTCTTGTTTTCAATTATCCTAGTGACTTTCGAAATTCTCTAGTCTTTTGCGGAAGTCCCTCGTCTGTTTCCAGCGGTTTGCTCCTTTTCTTCCGACATTCTCCAGTCTCTTTCGAAGGTATCTATTTTCATTGGGGC